GGGGCTTCCCATGCCTCCCTGCAAAACGGTGGAGGGTTCGCCCCTCGCCGCACCGTTCCCCGCCCACCGGCCAGATGCAGTGCGGTCCGTCAGACCCGTCACAGAGGTATAATCCCCTTCCCCTTTCCTCCCCTTCCCTTTCCCGACCCATGAACGCGCATAGGGCTCACAGGAGCTCCAACTGTCCGGCTGGCTGGAGCACTTCCAGGTTCCAGTTGGTGCCAGACTAGCAAGAGTGCTGGCCTCCTGGATGTTGGACAATTGGAGTTTTACTGTAATTGCTTTGCTTTCCTTGTCACCAAAATACTCCCCTGCAAAATTGGTTATTCTTTTAATATTTACTGCTCAATAACCAGAAACTAAAGTTAATCACATTTCTTAACTTAGTGTACACATTTAATACACTCTGTTTTTGATGAGAGAGAGATACACTTCAGTGGCTTAATTACTATATTTCCCAGCAAGTGTTGAAGGGAGGGGAAGGGAAGATGTCTGCACAACTAGTAAATGGATGAGACTATATATGTGTAGTATTAACTGTACCAGTATTCTAGATGCAATATAATTTAATTTTATTAAACCCGTGTTTTACTAAGAAATCCTGATTGCTTTTAATGAACCTATTCCTGTGAATAAAAATAAACTTTATGCAATGAACTTTTGTCGTTTTAAATTTTTAGGGTTCCAGGTTGGATGATCAAAGGTGTGCTCCACCATCAACTGCCTCAAAAGGACCAACTGTACCTGATGAAGAGTTTTTCAGCCTTATTTTGAGATCACAGGCCAAGAGAATGGATGAACAGAGAGTCCCTTTACCCTCCCGTATAAACAGACCAAATCCTAACAAAGACTGTTAGAAAACTCGTGGCAGTAAAGTTTGTTTGTATCATGCTTCTGCGCAGAATACCATTATTGGATATTATCTAACCCAGCCTGTAACTATAGCTAGTGTACAGTGAAAAATTCATGAACCATCGGTGTAAAGCTTCGGAAAAATTCCAATAGCCATCCAGCTTCATTTTTCGATTTTTCCCAGTGCTTGCAGAAGTCCAGTTTGTAAACTCGTGGCAGTAAAGTTTGTTTGTATCATGCTTCTGCGCAGAATACCATTATTGGATATTATCTAACCCAGCCTGTAACTATAGCTAGTGTACAGTGAAAAATTCATGAACCATCGGTGTAAAGCTTGCGTAACCAGCACATCTGATAAACCAACAACGCCCATTCCCCAAGAATGCCAGTTAACAAAACTTATACAATACTACAGTTACATTACTGGCCTGATTCTGTTCTTACTCACATTGATGTCAATCACGAGGCACTCTGCTAAAACGAATGGTATTACTCCACTGTAATAGTCAATGTAATTACCATGCCTCAATCTTTCAGGAACACAAAAGCTTATTCATACAATGCACGGTGAAACATTACAAAGAGAAAACCAGAGGAGAAAGCTTGTCAACCTACCAGATCTGTCCCACGTTCACCAATGAGAGGTAGAGAATCCACAGAATGCCCATGAGGATCATGTTTGCACATCCAGTGACCAACACGTACGCTGCAACTCCCAAGCCAAGGCCAGCAAGGCAGTCCAGGGTGCTGTCCATATCAGACCAGTCCAGGAACCAGATAATCGTTGGGGCATAGCTCAAGGAATCCAGGTTAATCTTTCCTTTGAAATACCGTTTAACGTTCTGCAAGTAGAGCTTACACGGCAGCAGTCCCTTCTCCCCAATCAACTGCTTGTTTTGATGGTAAGCCACCAAAAAAGCGACAACTAGGAGAAAAAAAAAACAAAAATGAAAAGATCTTTAAATCCATCGCAGGATATCTTTCAAGCTCAGCATGGCAGAGGTGTATCTGTATTCAGGAAAGGCATGCATTAACACCTCCTTCTCTCCAGTAGTATACTACTGGTGCTACAAGGAGGAGGGAGAAAAATTGTTCTCATTGGACCTCTGATGGTAGGACAAGAAGCAATGGGCTTAAATTGCAGCAAGGGAGGTTTAGGTTGGACATTAGGAAGAACTTCCTAACTGTCAGGGTGGTTAAACACTGGAATAAATTGCCCAGGGAGGTTGTGGAATCTCCAACGCTGGAGATATTTAAGAGCAAGTTGGACAGACATCCATTATGGATGATCTAGATAGTGCTTGGTCCTGCCCTGATGGCAGGGAGTGGACTTGATGACCTCTCGAGATACCGTCCAGTTCTAGCGTTCTATGGCTCCCCTAAGCACTGTCCCCTTTAACATAGGGAATTCTCGCAGAGTCTTTTTTGAGGGAAACACTTTTCTCTAAGATAGATATTTCATTAGTTGCTAGAACCAGCCACTGGCTAAATCTAATCAGAAACAGCACGTGCAGACATAGGGAGCAAGTGATATTCTTTTGCACTTGCATAGCATCTTCTGTCCAAGGGTTTCAAAAGAAAAGTTTTACACAACCGTCGGTAAAGGAGAACATGACAGGAGGGGGAGCTCTCAAGGTAGGGAAGCTTCACTTCCCCAAGCCAGGGAGAGGACAAACAACACCCCAGTGTTTTTCACAGGAGACGGACAGTCGCACCATCCTCTTCTCCTACTTTCACCCAAGACGTTTTCATTATCCGAAGGTAACATTCAAAATACTGTATGGAGAATACTCAACATCTCCCTAATCACCAGCACCAGTTTTCTCATGTCCAGGGAAATACTTAACCCACACTCATAGACAAGAGGTTCTATTTGCAGTATTATAGTCTAGCGTTGGAAAAAAGCCATCTATTATAGTCTAGCGTTGGAAAAAAGTGGTGTGTATCAGCAGCATAAACCCGCCAAAACACTGGAATTTTCTTTCACAGAACATATTTAAAAATACTTTGCTACATGAATGTGCAGGCTCATGAGATGACATTCAGTAATGAGGGTGCGTCAAGTCAATTTGGCCATCTGACATTTAATGCTCAAAAAAATGCAACTGTTTCAGTAGTAAGAGACAGTAGTTATGCCATGGGTTGGACTCCCACAGCCTCTCACAGACTGGCATGTTCAAAATGTAAAGACTTAATATTTTCTTGTCCTCGAAATTGCTATTTCTACATGTCACGACAGCTCTCCCACTTATAATATTCTACATCCTTAAGCGGGACAATCTAAGAACAGCCAGATGCTTTTTTTAACAACATAGAAGCAATTTAATTACAGATCATAGACCTAGAATTTGATGTACTGCAGAGAAAGTCGGTCAGTTTCTAGGAATTATCTCATATTTTAGGAATCTCCTCCAGTTACCAGCTTGCAGTTTGTAACTTCAGTAATCTCCTCTGTCAGAGAAATGAGGAGGGCCAACATTTCGTGATTAGACTTCATCTATTTCACTCCCAATAGTTAATTTGCCCCTGTTCCGAGCATTATCCGATTACCGGCCACGTCACTTGAAGACTTACACAATGTTACACTCCTGATTATTTTCCCCCTCTTAAGGGAAGCCATGGTGGGAGAGCAATTTTTATGTCCATTGACAGCAACATATCTAAAAACAAATGCATGCATTAATCCTGATGTCGGTAAATGCAACTGCACTCACTGTGCTATTTTTCAGGTTCCCCCTGAAAATCCCGGATGTGAAACCACGGCTTGCTAAAATGTGGAAGCACTGAGACCTGGAGATTTAATTGGACCTCAATCACTATATCGAGGATGGAATTCAAACTATGCCATCGTTCAGAGGGTCGGAATAGTGGGGCTTGCATCAGAAGTTTGCAAACCTGGAGGAATTTGTTATTTCAGTATCTATGCTAAATGGAGGATCTGTGCTGAGGATATAAATGGAGGATTGATGCTGTGAAGATCGATCTTCCGGCATTCGATTTAGCAGGTCTAGTAAAGGCCCACTAAATCAAACACTGACGGTGCCCCCATCGACTCCAGAAAGCTGCAAGGAGTAAGGGAAGTCGATGGGAGAGTTTCTTACTCCTTACAGCTTTCTGGAGTTGATGGGGGCACCGTCAGTGTTAGATTTAGAGGGCCTTTACTAGACCTGCTAAATCGAATGCCGGAAGATCGATCTCCACAGCATCAATCCTCTATTTATATCCTCAGCACAGATCCTCCATGTGGGGCCACTGGAAAAATTCGGCCCTAGATACATCAACTCCAGCTACATTATTTACGTAGCTAGAGTTGCATCTCTTAAGTTGACTTTCCAGGTTAGTATAGACCTGTCCTGAGATTCTGGTGGTCTGGGTTCTAAATTGCACTCTGCAACTCCCTCCCTTTGTGCATCAATTACACAGAAACACCAACCCCACTACCTGTTGTAAAAAGGGGCCAGTGATATTTGCCAACTTTGTGAATCTCCATGAGCTGTGTGAGTAAAGAGCACCTGGGGTTAGCACTGAAATCAGACACCGGAGCTTCCAAGTTGCTTCTCAAAGTCTCATCCTTCAGAAGGCTCATAGCAGCATGAAGGTTGGAGTCAGTGTACAACCCATCTTCCGGCAGGAAAAATCCAGGTGTGGGATGCTGCAGCCAGTCCAGAAGTACTCAACAACTCATAGCATCAGGCTCTTGACACGCACCAGTGTCTGCACTCAAACCTTTCAGCTTTGAACCTCGTCCTCAATTGATATTTGAGACTTAAACTAAATCCACTACTCATTTGAGAAGCAAAGAAACAGTTCCGATCAATAATTTCCAAAATACAACACCATCTCCCCTCAAGCACACACAACGCTGTCCAGTGGCATTTTGGTTAGTCCCTTTTAAAGCCATCATTCTGGCATTACACCCTCATTTATTTTCTTATATTTCTTGAATGAGTACTAAGGGCCTATTGGAAGTTAACTGAGGGCTTGCCATTGACTTCAATAGGTTCTGAATCAAGACCTTGAGAACTATTTTGTACAAAAATGGATAAAGAGAAACAGAACATTTCATTAGAGTATAGCTAGAAGAGAGAAGGAAGGGACATACTGGCCGTAACGCCAGTATGGCTTCTGATGACAGTAAGCTAAATAACCTAAAATTTAAAATATATATATTAAAAGTATTTCTTATGCTGGCTTTTTTTTAAACCAAAGCTCTTCTCAGAACTGTAAAACTAAAAGATTCAGCACCCGAAACCAGTAGGATTATAATGCTCCCCAACGTGAGACAACTTAATATATTTGCTTTGGTTTAAAAAAAATTTTCCCTGCCTTTAAAAAAAACCCTTCATGGTCTGATTTACCTTGATTAGTAGTGCAATTTGCTGCACAGTTTTCAAAAAGTGCTAATCAAATTTACCTCTAAACACTGCACAAACTGTTACCCCGACCCATAACTGCTAATCAGTTTAGGAAAACATCTAAATTAGGCCCCTGCACTGTAAGCAAGATAAACAAGGAAAGGGTAAATTAGGAAAAATATATACTGCAGCAACTGAAGAAAAGTATACACTATCTATGCAGAATATTGTACGGGGTATTTAAGTTTAAAAGCAGCACAGATCTATTATAAGTTGGCATGAATTGCATATCTAAGGATTGTACAGTTTGGGGAGGGACCTTCTCATGAAATAAAGATTTCTTTTAAACAAGCGTTTGTATTTCTGGAACTCCATAACAATTTTGCAACCAATTTGCATTAGCAAGTTTTCTAAAAACTTGGTTAAAAACTCATCTTCCCCAGATAAGTGCTTACATCGCCTCCGAAATGTCAGTCCATTTATCACACCTCCCAGCTATGAAGATCCATGTCACCACTAGATCAGCGCATTATCTGCAGGCGTGGAATACCGCATAGGCCTACGTTTACAGAGACATATACGGAAAGGCACAGATCTTGCAGTTTGCTGCATACAATCCGCCAGACTTTATTCTTCCCACAACACACAATCAAGGCTGACCCTAGGAAGATGTGGGGCCTGGTGCTAACCCCCCTTCCCGTACCCCAGGTGCAGGGCCCAGGGTAACTCCCCTGATGCAGGTCCCGCCCCCTCCCTGCCTCTGCTCCACCCAAGCCCCGCCCCTTATTCCTCCCCTGAGCAACGCAATTCAGGGGTTACAAGGTCTGGCATGGGACAGCAGCAGAGGTATCTGCCCTCTCCTGCACTAACCAAGATGGTGGAAAGCCAGAGCCGCCCAGCAGCCTGATGCACCCTGCCCCACTGTGCCACCCTCACAGCCCGCTGTACCCTGCTTCTCAGTGGTGGCAGGAAGTGGAGCATCCTAGGGCTGGAACGCTCTACTTCCGGCTGCCACGGAAAAGCAGAGCGCAAATGCCCATGAGTGTCAGGAAGAGGGGGAGCAACCCCGTGCCAGACCCCATAATCCCCGGGGTCCCTCCCGTCCATTACACAGTTGAGGCAGCCGCTATAGGGCCCCCCAAAGTGCGGGGCCGGAGGTGGCCATCCCAAAACATCCTATGGACAGGATAGCTCTGGATACCATTATATTCAACTTCCTGTTCAGATTTCCGATTCTTCCAACACTCACTTCCTGCACTAAGTACTCTAATTAGAACTACTACTAGAAGGCAATCAATAGACAACAAGTCCACATGCTCTTAGCCAAAAGGCTACTCAGAAGCTATATAATCCTCGGTCTACCTCAGTGTTTCTTAAACTTTTTAAGACCAAGGAACACCAAACAATAACTTTTTATGAGGAACACCAAGGATTTTTTGTTGAGAAAAAAAAAGTTGGGGGAAAGCTATTGAGCAAAACACTGCCCCTTTAAGAGTGGCTATTTTGAACTGTTATTCTCCGCGGCACACCTCCGACTGTGGTGCACTGCGGGACACAGTTTAAGAAACAC